GTCTTTTGTGTGGCAGCCTAGGAAATGAATACAGACCTCTTTAATAATCTGTTTAAAATGTACACAACCCAACACTTCATGTACCTTGGAGGACCTGTAAGTCCCTGAAGCTGACCCGTGGGGTCCCTGGCTGTCCTGGCTTCCCCCCGCACCTGGATTGCTCTTCGGGGTGGCAGGTAGCAGAAAAGGATGCCGTGGTCAGCATCGGGGCCCCTCCTGGCTCCTCTGCCCTGCGGCCCCGTCTCCCTGGCTCTCCACATCTTGCCTGCGCCTTGGGACAATGCAGGCGCCCACCCCGGACACAGGTTTCCCGCCTGTGACAGGCGGGGCTGCAGGAAGGGAGAATCGTAATTTTGGAGCAAGTTCCCAGGCTATGTTACTTTGGACCCCACTATTTGAAGTTGCTGAATAGATACTGGGGTGACTTCCAGGGACCATATGACTTTTATGACTTAAAAGGGGCCAAAGGGCCCTGGTTGGTTTGGCTCAGGGGTTAGAGCATGAGCCTGCGGTCCAGAGAGACCCGGGTTCGGTTCCCGCTAAGGGCACGTACCTCGGTTGCAGTTTGTCCCCGACCCTGATTGGGGTCGTGTGGGTGGCAACCACTCAATGTGTGTCTCTCTCACGTTGAAGTTTCTCTCTTCCTCCCTTTCTCTCTCCCGCTCTATCTGAAAATAGATGCAAAAATGTCCTTGGGTGAGGATAAAAAAAAAGGGGGACCAAAGGGCCAAGGATCTGCTCCATCTTGAGAAGGGGCGGGAACAGCCCTGCCGAGGGTTTAAGCTCCGGGTCTCAACCTTGGCCGAACACCGGATCAATCTGGGAATGAGAAAGAAATGCTGCCGCCCACGCCCAGCTGCCGACTCCGCTGGGGGTGACTGGGAGGGGCCTGGGCAGCAGGACTCTTAAAAGCTCCCAGGTGGTTCTAGTGGCCACAACAGAGGACAACTCCTGGGTTCAGACTTGTCACTGTGGCGACCGTGCCAGACAAGACAGGACAGCGCCAAGCCACAGGCACGCAGGTTCTACAGGGTCACAACCAGGAAAGTGTGAGCGGGCTCCCCTGGTCCTTCCGGCTCATCCCCTGCGCTGGCCCAGCACACTGTCCATTCCCTTCCTGCAGCATGGAGGCCTCAGCCTGGCTGGCACGATGGTGGACTTCCCTCGGAGCACGCGTCCCAAGAGTCCCAGGAGGAAGCGGCAGGCTCCCTACAAGCCAATTTAAGAAGTCCCGGATTGTCATTTATGCTCCATTCTCTCGGTCAAGAAAGTCACTAAGGCCAGCCCAGCTTTAAGGGGTGAGGATAAGACCCCCTGGTGTGGGGAAGGAATGAATGAGGCCATCGGTGGAGATGGGCTACCCCACCAATGACACAGGGATTTGGGGCTCAGTCCTCAAAGTCTGTGATTGTCCAGCCCCATAGGGGTCTGGGTAGCCTTGCCCTCCTGACCACCTCTGGCCACAGAGAAATGGATACTCCTGCTCACTGTCCAACCCTCCAGAGTCTCCAGGGACCCAGGGACTACGTCGTGTGTGGCTGGGTGTTTTTAGGGTGGAGGACGGTGGTGGCACCTCCAGGGCTCAGGGTGAGGGGCTCATGAGTGGAGTCTCTACACTTCCAGAACCCACAGCTGCTTCTAAGCCCTAACACACCCCGTGTGCCTGGGCCAGGGAGGGCACACCGGCCTGGGAGGGTGTGCCAGATAACCGGCGTCCACCCTGTACATCCAAGGAGGGTGTCTTGGTAAGGCTTAGTTTCTGAGAGGGAACCCTTTCTGAAGTAGCTTATGCCCTCTCCGCCTTTTAAAGCCACGGCAGGAATCACCCTTTACAGCATCCTGAGGGGGTAGAGGCTTGGGCTTGGGCAGGAATCACACTTTACAGCATCCTGAGGGGGTAGAGGCTTGGGTTTGGGCAGGAATCACACTTTACAGCATCCTGAAGGGGCAGGGGCTTGGGTTTGGGCAGGAATCACACTTTACAGCATCCTGAGGGGGCAGGGGCTTGGGTTTGGGCAGGAATCACACTTTACAGCATCCTGAGGGGGCAGGGGCTTGGGTTTGGGCAGGAATCACACTTTACAGCATCCTGAAGGGGCAGAGGCTTGGGTTTGGGGCTCGCAAGGAAGGATCTGATTTCTTTTGCTTAGTCGGTCAAGCTTGTGTGTGCTCCTGACTCCGCCCAGCCCTCTCGCTCCCGTCCTCTGCTGGGCTGGCGTTTCCCAGACTGCTGCCTCAGTGAGAAACTGGTCCCTGCTCATGACCTGCAGTGGCTCCCAGTGCTCACTGACTAAAGCGAACTTCTCATCCCCACCTGTCGGCACCTCTGTAACGGGCCCTGGCCCTCTCTTCCAGCTCCCTGTCCCCTACCCTCCAGCTCCCTGAAGGATTCTGGGACCATATTCTGGGCCTCCCTCCTTCGTGCCTCTGCTAGAATGCCCACCAGAGGAAACCTACCTGTCCTCCTCCATCAGACCCTCCACCTCAACTTCCTATGATGACAGGTGTCTGGGAGGAAAGCATCTGACACCTCCAATTCACTGCCTTTCCCTGAGAATGTCTCTTCGTGCACGTACATCTTGTCCAACCCTCATCCAATCATCTAACAGACACCTGTGAAGGACCTACTATGTGCCAGCCACCTTGGTCACCCCTGCTGGGGATGGTCTGGCTCATCATTTCTCCAATAGCCTGGGAGCACCCAGAAAGAAAGTCTGCATTCAACTCTGCCCCCCAGATCCCCGTCCCAGTGCCTGACACGGAGCTTGGCACAAGCAGGGACCCATCCGCTGAACAGCTGGATGGCGGCACTGCCATTTCTCCACCAAACTGCCCACTGCTGAGGTGTGGGGCAGTGATTTGCTCACACACAGCTGGTGGTCACTGCACCCTCACCGCACGTGCTGAGACTCCTGCTGGCCACGCACTGTTAATGCTACAGATGAAGGACTAGAAGTCCCTGCCCTGTGGACAGGGCAGCACCAGAAAGCCACGGTGAAGTACAAGGCACCATGGTCAGACCACTTCTGGGGGGAGAAGAAGAGATAAGTCATCTTTAAATACGTCTGCCCTGTCCCTTACGTTGTGTCTTCAGGGTGAAGCAAGAGGTGGAAATCTGGGTCTGAGGATCAGCTTAGACACGCAGACCCAGATTTAAAACCCAGTCCTTCCCCTTACTAATGGTGCGCCCTGGGCAAATTAGCGAATCGTGTTGAAGTTTGATGTCAACACAGTTCTGTAGAATGAGGCCAGCCGCGCCTCCGTCACAGGCTTGGAAGGGCTCACTGTGAGAAAGGGGGCACCAGTCCAGAGACCGGCACAGAGCAGCTGCTCAATAAACCTCAGTGCTCTCACCACTGAAGGGCACGTCGTGCTTCTGTTCCTCTCCCTTAGCTTAGGACTGAGCATGTAACTAATGCCCTAACATCTGTCCGTGGGAATCAACTGACCACATGAAACTTGAATTATAAACAAAAAAGAAAAAAAAAAAAACCCCACGAAACCCAATCTCTGGGCAAGCTCAGCCTATAGCTAAAAAGCTCTGTTTATTTTGTCATGTTGCCATAGCAACTCATGATGCTCCAGCCAACCCCAGGGTTTGCAGAGATCAATTTATTTCTTAACCACAGAAATGCCAGCCCTTCCATGGGGTACAGAGGTGAAGGCAGACAGCTGTTGTGTCAGCTCCTGTCCCCTCTAGAAATAACCTACTGATGCTGCCTCAGTTACCAAGGAGCTCAAGTTACCACTGGATAGCAAGGTGTTCACAGGACAATATTTTAAACATGGGGTTAGAAATAAGAGACAGAAAACGTCGGGGGAAAGACCAGCATTGCTCATGGGAACAATTTGCATTATGGAAAACTTGTCCAAAGGCTGTCAACTGGATTTGGGGTCCCGGAGCCAGTTTGGGGATTCTGCACCCTTTCATGGCTTCACCTGGGGGCTCGCTGTCCCTACAGCCTAGATTTTACTGTTACTTTTAAAACAGGCTTCCACCACAATGAAGTTGGGGGGGGGGGAAAATGTCCCCTCAAACTCCACTCCCTGGAACATTAAACAGCAGCAAGTGGACGCCTGCCACACACCCAGGGGACAGAGGGAATCTCAGTGGCCTCCTACCTCTGGGCTCCCCACATAACCAGAGATGGTGCAAGGTCTGAATCTGGTACATTGGGACCTTCTTTCCCAGACCAAACAGTGGCCCTTCCCTGGAGCCAGACTGGCACTGACTGGGTGCTGGGAAAGGCGACGGGCAGCTACAGAAAGCGGGTGTGTGCCTTTGTTCTGGTTCAAGCGAGTTAAGGCTCAGAAACATCCAGATCGCCCAAGCTCAGAACTCAAGGGGATTCTCTCTGAGCAAAGATCAAGCGGTGAGAAGTCATCTGTTTTCCCCGCCCCAGGAACCTATTTTGCACTGATGGCTACAGACTCAGCACAAAGCAAAACGGGATGAAACGACGGCTGTGTTTGGCGCTTGGCCGGTCACAAAGCAGCCGCCTTGCTCAGGCTCTGGTCTCCGCTTAAAAAAGAGAAGAACGAGGTGGAGGGCAAGTGACAGATTACCCGGCGCCTCCGGAAGGAATATATAGACTGGGGGAGAGCGAGGTTGCCCGCCCACCTAATGCACACATCTGGGCTGCTGGGCCTTGAAGGCTGCAGGGTATCCGAGGTGAACAGCAGGTGGTGATGGGGGGGAGTAGGCAGGGAGGGGGCGACTCGCACTGCTCAGGCCCTTCGCAGGCTGGGAACAAGTGAACCCAATGAGCTGGGCGCAGACGGTCCGCCCCACCCCCCGGGGAGCCAAGCTCGCCATCCCGGACGCGCACCAGGTGGGGAAAGCCTGGTGCTGGACAAAGGACCGGGATGTGGATCCCCGGCTGGCGCTACAGCCCGGCCAGAACCCTCCCGGCGCGCCCAGCAACAGTAGGGAGGGCGAGACCGTGGCCCCGAACCTGCCTAAACTTAGTGGCCCTGGGCGCGCGGAGGCGTCCTCTTACCTGCGCAGCCATAAAGGACAGATCCATGGTGCCTCTGCAGCCGCTGCTGCCGCCCGCGCTCGAATCGTCACTGTTCCTGCTGGTCCAGCCGCTGGCACAGCTGGCGGGAGCGGGCCGAGCAGCAGCCGGCGTTCCCGGATCCCGCGGCTACGGCTTCGACCTCAGCAGCCCGTTCGCGGCGGCGCGCCCCAGCCGATCGACGCCCGAGGCTGGCTCGGCGCTCTCGGCTCCAGGCAGCTGCTGGGCGGAGGACCCGGAGTGCGGGGGCGGGGCGGGGCGGGGCGGGGCTGGGCTCTGGGGACCGAGGGTCCCTCCACGTGACCACGGCCAGCCCCACCCCCGAGGGCGGGGCGGTGGAACACTGAGCGCTCACGATCCTGTCTCTGCGTGGGCCAGAAGGAGAAACTGAGGTCCGGGGTCGCCCAGCTGGTTGGTGCTGGACCAGCCTTGAACCCAGGTTCTTGGTGCCCCCTCGCCGTGCTGCTGAGCCCAGCCCGTCAGGGGTGGCGAGCAGTGCTTTCCCCGGGCTACGTGTTCCCAGGCCTGAAGACCAGGGTCTGGGTGACCCAGCTTTGCCGGCCAACTCCGCGCACGGAGTCCAGCATGCCCGGCGCTCTGGAAATGGGCAGAGGGAAGTTTAAATCCTAGCTCTGCTCTTCTGTATGTCTTGACCAAGGGAGTGCCTTTCTGAACCTGGGCTCCCTGGTCTGCAAAATAAAGATAACGAAGCTGAGAATTAAATGACAAAATACACCTGACATGTAGTGTCTTCAGGAGGCTGGGTGACAGAGGCTGGGCCGTGAAGGGTGCGGTCCAGGACTGCACTCCTTGGCTGTGATCTCCTGTACCTCAAGCACGTGTCCCAAGCCAAGCCGTGGGATGAGGATGATAGCAGAGATGCCCAAAGGGCCCTATTCCCGTGTGCGCGCGCGCGCGTGTGTAGACACCCCAGACTTGGTTGCCGTCCTCAGAAGAGAAGAAGGACAAGAGCTTTGTCCTCTAAGTATTCCCTGGGAGGGAACAGCTGTAATCCGACAGGTCTCAGTGAGTACTACCTGGTCCCTCTGGGTGGTGTCCCTCCCAGGGCCTTTCACTCCCCAAGAGCCTCTAGACTGTCTGTGAAGAGGTGGCCGAGGGACTCAGGCTTCGTCAGGGCACGTAAGCCATGGCACAGAGAGATGGAGCGGTTTGTTCAAGGTCACCCAGCAGCTTACTATCAGTGCCTTACTATCAGAAACCGCATGTTTGTGTTCCCCTCAAAGTTCATAAACTGAAACCCTAATCCCCAATATGATTGTATTTAAAGATGGGGCCTTTGAGAAGTATTTAGGTCTTGAGGGTGGAAGTCTCATGACGACATTAGTGCCCTTATAAGAAGAAATACAGAACAGAAGGTCTTAATATTAATTTGGTCAAAGTTTATTAATACTTTCTGTACAATTAGCCCTTGTTTAAGAAATCCTTCCCCGACTTGAGACCATAAAGATACTCTCCTGTAGTTATTTTATTTTTTGTATTCAGCCTGTTGGTAACTGATTATTTTTTGGTACGGGTGAAGGAAGCACTATAATTTTTCTCATATGAATAATCAAGTATCCAGCTCCTTTATTGGCCACTACAGCCATTTCTGTTTGTCAGGGTTCCATCGAGGTGTGGGTCTGTTCCTCTTGTCCTGTCCTGTTGTTTGTTCATCTCTCCGTATATCAATTCTAATCTGATTTTGTTGTCCTGATGGTTCATATGATGTGGTAACTTGACTGGGCCACAGGACTCCAGATAGCTGGTTAAACTTCATTTCTGGATTTGTCCATGAGGGTGTTCCCGGAGGAGACCAGCGTTTGAATTGGTGGACTGGGCAAAGCAGATGGCCCTCCCCGGTGTGGGTGGGCATCATCCCACCCCTTGAAGGCCTGAATAGAACAAAAAGGAAGAGGAAGGTTGAATTCTCCCTCTGCCTGCCCACTAAACTGTCTTAAATTGGGATGAAACCCAATCTGTTGACTTTTATGGATTCTCCTTTTGGTGTTAACTTTAACTTTAAAAATGCTTTGCCTACCCCCTAGATCCTGAAGATTTTCTCCTGAAATATTTATGGTTTTATATTTTACATTTGAGTCCATGATCCGTTTGAGTTAATTTTTATATCAGGTATGAGACTTCTGTAGAGGTTCATACTTTGCTTATGAACTGTTTGTCAAAAAGACGATCTTTTGTCTGTTGAATTGCTTTTACACTCTTTCAAAATCAGTTGAGCATATTTGTGTGAATCTATTTCTGGGTTCTTTATTTGGATATGCTGAAGAAAATCCATAAAGTGCTTCTTTATTCCATGCCATTGATTTATGTGTTCATCCCTTTGCTGAAACTACAGTCTTGACGACTCTAGCTAGATGATGTCTTGAAATTGAATAGACTGATTCCTCTTACTTTATTTTTCTTTTTCAAAAGTGTTTTAGCTATTCTAGTTCTCTTTTGTCTCTCTATCTTGTCTGTATGTAAGAAAAAATCTGTTGGGGCAGATCTGTTAAATTTATGTATCAAATTGGGAAGAAATTACATCTGTACTATGGGAGTCCTCCAATCCATGAAGATAGCACGTCTCTCTGTTTATTTAAGTCTTATTATTATTATTTTTTTAATCTTCAGTGTTGTATAGTTTGCAACATGTAAGTCCTAGGCATTTTTTTAACTTCACATCTAAGTCTTCCTTCCTTCCTTCCTTCCTTCCTTCCTTCCTTCCTTCCTTCCTTCCTTCCTTCCTTCCTTCCTTCCGTGACTGTAAATAATATTGCACTTTTAATTTTGGTGTTTGTGTGTTTATCGATAGCACAGATACAGGTTAAAGGGTCCTGAACACACCCATGCAACCAGAACTCCAGTAAAAATAGAAAACATTCCACTCACCCCTACAAGTTCTCCACTGCCCGCTCCAGCCTCAGGTTTCTGTTCTCCAAGTTATCCAGCCATTGATCAGGTAGGTGTCTCTCACTATGGGTTAGGTTTGTCTTTTCTAGATTTCTCTACAGAACGTGTCCTTTTCTCTGTCTGGCTGTTCCGCTCAGCACAGTGTTTTAGAGAATCACCCACATCATCACATATATTGGTAGTTCTGTGTTTATTCCTGCAGAACGTTCTGCCGTATGGATGGTCCACAGTGGGTTTACCCGTTCTCCTGGCGATGGGCATTTGCATTGTTTGGGACTATGATGAATAAAGCACCTGTGAACATCTGTGTACATGTCTCAGCAGAGGCGTTTCGTGTTCATTTTCTTGGATAGTAACAGAGGAGTGGAATTGCTGGGTTTTCTGTTGATGAGAAATTGCCAAACTGTTTACCAAGTGTTTGTACATTTTATACTCTCACCAACAGTGTATGAGAACTCCAGTTGCTTCATAGTCTCACCAGAACTAGTGTTTTCATTGTTTCTAATAGAGCTGTTCTAATAGAGCAGTACTTAATTACAGTCTACACGTGCCCCCTGGTGACTGATGGTGTTGCCCATATCGTCCGTTCATGTATTTTCTTCTGTGAAGGGCCTGTTCCAGTCTTTCTCCCATTTTTAAAAAATGCGTCATTCATCTTGTTATTATTGAGATTTAAGAACTCTTTATATGCTTTGGATACAATGTCTCTGTCAGATATACACACTGCAAATGTTTTTCCTCAGTCTGTGGCTTTTCCCATTTTCTTTTTTGTATATGACTTTTTTGTTGTTGTTACAGATGTTTCTCTTTTTTTCCCCCATCAACACCCTCCTTGCCATCCCCCCCAACCCCATCGGTCCCGGCATTGTTGTCCGGGTCCATTGGTTATGCGCACATGCATATAAGTTCTGTGGTTTATCTCTTCCCTCCCCCCCAACAACCCCTCTTCTGAGGATTGTCAGTCTTCCCATTTTCTTAATGGGTTTTTTCATAGAAAAGTTCTTAGTTTTGATAAAATCCAATTGTCCTTTTTTTTCTTTTATGACTCATGATTTTTGTGACCTAAGAAATCTTTGCCTACCTCAAGGTCATAAAGATTTTCTCTGTTTCTATTTCCCCAAAAGTTTTATAGTTACAGCTTTTATGTTTACATCTCTGATCTATTTTTAGTTTTATATATGACATGCAGTAAAGCATGAGGTTCTTTTTTTTTTCTGTCCTTCCCAAAAAGATGTCCAGTTGTGCCAGCACTATTTACTGTAATGACTTCTCTTTTCTTCATTGAATTGCCCAGGACTGAAACGAGATTTAAGGAGACACAACATTTAAGGTGGCACACATTCTCAGGTGCCAACTCTACACTGTGCGACTCTGAGAGTGCGTGTTTCCTTAACTGCCGATGCCTAGGCACCTTGCTGGCTCCACCCACTGACTGGTAAGCACCTCCAGATCTGCACATTAGAAATGTCACTCTCTTCTCTGCAGCTGTGCCTGTGTAATGATCCAGTGAGGACATGCAGCCCTCTGTCCTGAGCTCCAGACCGGCACAGCCATCCCTCTGCTCAGCCCCTTCTCCTGTGTGGCCAGAGGCGTCTCGAATGTAACCTGGTTTGTGATGAGCTCTGACTTCCCCCTTCCGCTGGGCAACATCACAGCAGATCATGAATGGTACCACCAGGCTCTCCATGGGCACCTGGCAGGAAGGCGGGGGGTGGGGGGGCCCAGGACGTGGTTAAATCCAGCTGTGCGCCTCCAGTAGGGTCCTGTGCTCGGGGAGGGGCTGCAGCTGTCAGAGAAGGCGGTGCCTTTGCTTATTCCCAAAGGCTCCCAAGGGCCAGTAGGTCCAGGGGTCACTCTGCAGGCTCCACTCCCTTATACCCACTCTCAGCTCACTAACCCTACAGGTCCCTGTGCTGTGGCCACACAGCTTCTTTCTGTTCCAGGAGCACAGGACTCTGTCCCTTCAGGGTCATAGTCTTTGTTATTCTGTCTGCTGGGAACTTTCTTCCTCCCCATCTTGCTGTGATGGCTCAGGTTTTGTTTCAAAAGCACCCCCCTTCCCAGCTTCGCTAACTTGCCTGTAAAATAAAAAGCTCCTTATTTTATTGTTTCCATAGCATTTCTCCAGTTTTGAATCCATTTACTTATTGGAAGGGGCAATCGGTCATTCGCCCTAAGTGTCCTGGTTTCGGGCCATC